GTAGCAATAAGTTCTCGTGAATTGTCAGTGTAAACTGCCCCAACTTCATCCTTGTGAGATAAGAAGTGGTTGAAAGCATTAACACATGACTCACTCGATTTTGTCTGACTTGGATAGACGTGCCTGAACTGAGTGTGAATGTCCTTCATCACCAATGCCACTGTTTCACCTTTGACGCCTTCTTCCACATTGGATTTGATTACAGTATGGTCAGCGACAATGTGATCCCCAAAGCTTTTGGTTTCCAACCTTTTCTGTCCCCCTTTCTTCTTTGCGGGTGGTGCCATCATGCGCGCCTTCTGACAGATTTTGCAAAATGGATTCTTGGGGTAATGGCAAAACTGGTGAGATTTGCTGCATGCCTCTTGCTCAAGGTCAGATGCCTTTCTAGACCTGACGTACTCGGTTTCGCTATCATGAGCTACTCCCTCATCCACGCCTTCTTCATCGGCACCTTCTGCTTTTGCAGCAACCATTGCAAAAAGACGTAACAGATCACAATCTTTCTTGAACTGTCCACTGTTCAAAACACGACAAGAGCTATCAATAACCGGCACCCGGCCGTCTACGTTAAGCTCGATGACTCCCATGTCCGGACGAATGAAGTAAGGCCTACCATCAGCTGGCCACACGAAACTGTAACCCTGTTCCATACACCTGACCCCAACCGAAAGAACAGCAGGAGTTTCCTCAAGAATGTATGGTGAAAACGGCTGATGTAGGGCATCGACCTTTACGTCGGCCACCTCATCCGCTCGTGTCGAACCGTTTGCTGTAGCAAGGCTGATCGGAGTGTCGCTGACACGGCGGTTTGTCGCCTTTGCAGTCTTCAGCATACCCTCACTAATCAAATCCTGTTCACTGCCCGTGTCAACCAACCAAACACATCCATCTTTTGATGCCGGTGTAGCAACAGTGGGCAAATGAGTGTTACTGACTTTATTCTTGGGACCGATCATTGCTCTACAGTGGTTGCATGATACTCCCCCTTCTGGGTCATTGCATCGGAATCGGCATTTGGGCTGCGTCTCACTGCCGAAGAGCTTCACAAGTTCCTGCAACTGTCGGGCCGAAACCTGAGCACGGTGAGCGATGAGTTTGTCGGGTTTTGGCACTGACTCTGAATCAGGGAACGTCTTCTCATAGATTCGGGGTCTGTGCACTACCTTCCTCTGTTCACCTGTTGCTGGGACTTTGATGTATTCCACTTTTGATGAAAACACAATAGCTCTATGGCATTGTTCTTTCATGGCCTTTGTAGCTTTCGGCAACCCTTTTCCCTTTGCTATGCATGCATACCTTTGAGTAATGCATGGCGCAGCTTTTGCACTGGCCTTCTTCTTTGGTGCAGGGCTATTGGTGCGTTTTGGATCCTTTGTGGGTGCAGCTGCAACTTCATGTTTATAAAAACACTTGTCACCACGACGACATTTGCCCTGTTGGAAGTAAGTGCATGGGATCTTGGCCATCTCTTCCCTTGACTTTCTGTTGGGGGAACCACTTCTGCTACCGCCTTTGCCCTTACCCTTCTTTTTGGGAGTGCCAGATCTTGAGGAATCCTTGACATGCTTGTAGGGACAGTCTTTACCCTTTTCGCACTTGCCATCCCTGAACTTGTAACATATCTTATCCCCTTTTCCACTCTGGCTACGACCACGGGATCGACCTCGATCACCCTTTCCTTTGCCGCGATCTTTGCCCCCCTGAGCGGGTGCAGCGGGCTGAGGCTTTTCGGTCTGCTTGTTCTTTTCAACGATTCTGTTTCTGTTTGAACGGAGTCTTTCTCTATCCAAAAGATCACGAATGTTTCTCAACAAGAATGCATAAGACTTTTGTTCTGACTTTTCAGGAGCTCTGTCGAATGCTTCGATGTCATACTTCATCAATTGACATTTTCGGATTTGTCTGAGTAAGATGTCTCTGAGAACCAAATCATCTGGCGGGGTTTCCATGCCGGCAATTGTGGCGTCCCATCGGTTCAGAAACCTTCTAAGGTCCTCCACAGATTCTCCAGTGCGAACGACTCCAAGTAGGTCCTCGACGCGGTAGAGACTGCCAGCTTCCTCAGACGTCCTGAAGTAATCTTCAAACATCAAAAGGACTCTCCTACCTCTGACTTGGATCCCTTTCTTTGACTTCTCATCTTTGAAGTTATGGATCTTTGTTGCTAAATCACCTTTGGCCGAGCGAGTTAACGCTGCCGACAATTTGGTGTCAAGTGTGATAAACTTCCCAGGTTCCTGCAGCTTTTCCTCCAACTTTTCCCTAGGAGTTTTGTTGTCAAAGACTTCATTAAGCCAAAGCCAAGCCTCGTCGGGTTTGTCGGAGCACGACTTGACTTCGTCCCTGACATGATTACGCCAGTGACGATATGCTTCTGGGGCAGGCATGTCGTTCAGTTTGATAGTCTCTGCCTCTTTTGTTCGGGGCTTTTCACCATCTGAATCCTTTGAAGTCAGTCTAGTGATGAGATCTAGCAATTGTTGACCTGAAAGACCTAAGCCTGCCTCAGCTGCTTTCTTGCCAGGGTCGCTTGCTATTACTGTAGGACTGGGCACACTATGTTCTTGGTTTGCATCATCATCATTTTGTCTTTGAACTGGCAATGGTGGCAGTTTTGGAGGGGCTGCTGATCCGGCAGGGGTTGTTGAGAACAAGTTGCTCAACCTTTCCTTGGCGTCCATGGCTAAGCTACTCATACCAGTGTTTGGCATGGGTTCTGCTCCAGCCTTGGTACCGACCGCTGATTTTGGGGTCATGTACAAATCGACATTGTTCCCGCCTTGTGAATCATCAACTTCGACGGCTCTGTCGACATTGATTTCCGGGGCGCTGTACTTGTTGAGCTTCTCCATCAAATCCTCCACTTGTCCCTGCAATTGGAAGTTGAGTTCAGCAGCTTGGTTTTCCTGCCTACTGCATTCCTCTCTAATCTCCTGGATTACAGCTTGTTCCTCCTTCTTGAAACCTTCCATGCCATTCTTTGCATACTCCACTGTTTCGTCCACGATTCGTTTACAGTCTGCCTCGAGGCTACCTCTGAGTTCAGAAAACCTTTGTTCGTACTGGGCTGTAACATGGGCTACCTTTTGGTTGGCTCTTTGTTCAGCTTCCAGTGCAACTGCATTTGCAGCATTCTTCAGCTTTGCGTTTGCATCGCTAAGTTCCTGTCTCAGTTTTGCTACCTCATGCTCAGTTGCCGTTTGGGACATTGAATACTCTGACACTAGGTGTTCATGTCTGCGATCAGCTTCTGCACGTTGATGGGCGATTTCGCTAAGGCAAATTCCCTCAAACTCTTGGTACAGTTGCTGGACCTTTTGTTCCATGAGATGTGTGTGCCTCTCCTCTGCCTCTTGCCTGAAAGCATCAATGTTACCTTCGTTGATGTAGGTAAGATTGTTTTGCACGAACTGGAAATAGGCTTGCACGGGCTGTGTGAAGAAACCTTCATCCACTGACATGGGCGTGGGGTTTGTCCCAGCCGGCAAGCTCTGTTGAGAACCAGTTGATGCGGACACTGTTCCGGTTGAAGGCACAAGGGCACCACCACCTGTTGCATCGTGAGTCTTATCCATGGCTTTAGAGACTACGGCTGATAACCTGTATTTTCAGGTTTCAGCTGGGGTTATCTTATAATCCCAAATAGACTGATAAACCTATGGGGCAAAACTAGAAACCGTTAAGCACCTGCGGCAGCAGCGCTTTTTACTGAGCCGCAACAGCTGTGGTAACATGCTAGTATACATGTGTGTTTTATGTGAGGTGCTTTTACACGAACATGGTGTGCTTTGTGCATTTTGACTTGGAAATGTGCTTCGCGCCACAACGGCGTGCACTTTTTCGACATCGGAACTTCCAAAAGTGGTCCGACATTGGTGTGTTTTGTACATTTTGCCGTGGAAATGTGCTTCGCGCCACAACGGCGTGCACTTTTTCGACATCGCAACTTCCAAAAGTGGTCCGACATTGGTGTGTTTTGTACATTTTGCCTTCCAAATGTGCTTCGCGCCACAATGGCGTGCACTTTTTCGACATCGCAACTTCCAAAAGTGGTCCGAGATTGGTGTGTTTTGTACATTTTGCCTTGGAAATGTGCTTCGCGCCACAACGGCGTGCACTTTTTCGACATCTCAACTTCCAAAAGTGGTCCGCTCCTCTAGTGTTTTGTCCATTTTGACTTGGAAATGTGCTTCGCGCCACAACGGTGTGCACTTTTTCATGTCTCATCTGGCCAGCTGGCTCCGCACCCGCCGCTTTAGCGAGCCTACTTTTCGACCCTCCGCATCATGGAAAAACACAGTGAATCGCGACTTTCCTACCTTTTCGCGCATCTGCATCTTCTTTCTTCTGATCTTGTCTCTTCTGACTCTTCTCACCTCTGCTTTTCAACTGTCCATATTGTCGGAAGTTTCACTTCTAAACTTCCTTCGATTAGTATTAGTATTAGTATTAGTATTAGTATTAGTATTAGTATTAGTACTAGTATAGTATAGTATAATTATAATATAAAAATACCACATAAAAGAGAACATAATATAATATGATATAATATAATATATTTTAACATAAGATAGTATAATTTAATATAATTTAATCTAATATATACATTTCAACTTGCTTGATGGATCTGTACCTCCGAAGTGCATTCGATTCAAAAAATAACTTAGGCCATCTTAGGCCTTCGTACAGTAAAAAACCATGGTTAAAGGCTTGCAAAATAATAAAATGCCATGCCGAATCAAAACATCAATCCCCGAAATGCCCGGAATTTACATGAACAGGCCATTTATGACATGAGAGGGTGACTTTCTTGAGGTAGCAAAACACCTCCATAGCATGCGTTGACAGATGCAAATACCTTGGCAAACAATCGGACACCAGTGCCTTTGACTAAAATTGCGACTAACATGTGGTAGAATTACCCCAATTATCCCCAAAACATGTGGAGAACCCACTGTAGATCGCTTTCCCCATGGGTTTCCCCATGGGTTTTCCGGCTAGGCGATGCTCGATGCTCTTGCGCGGCAGCCTGGTGATCAACGGCTCTGTTTTTACTGTTCCCCTGAGAACGCATCCCTGTCTAAGGTATATGTAGGCCTATGTATGTATGTATGTACGTACGTACGTATGTATGTATGTATGTACGTACATAGGTATGTATCTATGTATCTATGTATCTATGTATGTATGTACGTACGTATGTATGTACGTATCATTAAACGTATGCATGTATATGTTTACAGTTAAACATATATATATATATGTGTCTGGTAAATATGGTATCTATGGTATCTATGGTATATATGGTATAGAGGGTATATACGGTGTATGTATATGGTATATATATATGGTATATATTTATATATATGGTATATATATATATGGTATATATATATATGGTATATATATATATGGTATATATATATATGGTATATATATATATGGTATATATACATGGTATATATATGGTATATATAGGATATATGGTATATATTGTATAACTGGTATATATGGTACAAATAGTATATATGGTATATATTGTATATACGGTATTTTTGGTTTGTATATATATACGGTGTATATATATATATGGTAAATGTATATGGTAAATGTACAAATATATGGTGTATATATATTATGGTGCATATATATGGTGTATATATATAAGATATATATGGTATATTTGGTATGTATATATATATATAAAACATAGGTTGTGTTATGTGCATATATTATGTGTGTATATATATATAGTTATATATATATATATACACACACATTATATTTACATATACATATACATGTAAAAGGAGCATGGAGTGATGTCGATACATATTTACATGGCAAAAAAAATAAGCCTCAGTGGTATCCCCAATAGCCGCAACAAATAATTGTCACAGTTTTTTGGTCCGAAATTTGCTCGAAACTCACTTGAAAAACTCCGCCGACACACTACCGAAGCTACCCTTCGGAACCTTCACCTCCGAACCGCGCCGGAACCTCCTGAGCCCTCCAGAACCTTCTGGAACCTGATTTAACCTGGACCTGGCCACTGCACCGCCACCTCCGGAACCTTAACCCACTTTGAAAACCGGCACCTGCACCGGTGTGCTCCGGAACCTTCCGGAACCCCGGTGAACATGGCCCGGCTATGCTCCGGAACCTTCCGGAACTCCGTTGAACCTGACCTGGCGCCTGCACCGGTGCACACCGGAGCATATCTGGGCTGAAGACCCCAGTAGCGTACGCTGTTGGGGAAAAAGCAGAAAAACAAACTTCTCCGAACCTGACCCGGCACCTGCACCAAAGCCTCCCGGAACCTTCTCCAGAACCCTGTTGAACCTGACCTGGCTCTGCACCAAAGCCTCCCAGAACCTTCTCCGGAACCTTCGGAGCCTTTTCCGGAACCCTGTTGAACCTGACCCAGCGGCGGCACCAAAGCCTGCCGGAACCTTCTCCTGCGGAACCTTCGGAACCTTCTCTGGAACCTCTCTGAACCTGACCTGGCGTCTGCACCAGTGCACACCGGAGCTATTTTGGGCTCAAGATCCCATTAGCATACGCTGTTGGGGAAAAACTTACTTGTGTGCTTTTATGTCTATTCTCAGGGCGAAAAACGAAAACATACACAAAATGTGGGAATCCCATGGCTTGGGGGGTCAGGAATTTGGAGAGAACGGTTCTTGACATTCTTTTAATCCAATTCTTGGGGTCAATGAAGCCAAAGCACCGGCAAATCACCGAAATCCAATTCCTATCCATATATCCACATGACTATGTCTCTGGCGCATGGCTGGTAGGTCCAGCAACTTTTGGGGAATTGAAAGCACCTATTATAGTTAATTACTAACAGAAAATCAAGAAACAACAAAAAAAACAAGAGCCAGCCCACGAACCCGAATGCAGTCACGTCGAACACTTCTGTGAAACAAGTTATTTGAATATAGTCTATATTTTTCCTCTGTTACCGTACCCGTGCACTGTAGACTGAGGAATGCGGAAGAGGGTGGAGTGCACAGTGTGGAGTGTGGAGTGTAGAGTGTAAAGGGTAGAGTGCAGAGTGTGGAGTGTGGAGTGCGAAGTGTCAAGTGTAAAAGTGTGGAGTGCAGAGTGTAAAGTGTAGAGTGTAAAGTGTAGAGTGTGGAGTGTAAAGTGTAGAGTGTGGAGTGTAGAGTGTGGAGTGTGGAGTGTAAAGTGTGGAGTGAGGAGTGTGAAGTGTAAAGTGTAAAGTGTGGAGTGTGGAGTGTAGAGTGTAGAGGGTGAAGTGTAGTGTGTAAAGTGTAGAGTGTAAAGTGTAGAGTGTGGAGTGTGGGGGGTAAAGTGTAGAGTGTTGGAGTGTAAAGTGTAAAGTGTGGAGTGCGGAGTGTAGAGTGTGGAGTGTAAAGTAAGGAGTGTGGAGTGTAAAGTGTGGAGTTTAAAGTGTGGAGTGTGGAGTGTGCAGTGTAAAAATAGAGTGTGGAGTGTGGAGTGTGGACTGTAGAGTCTGGGGTGTGGAGTGTAAAGTGTGGAGTGTGGAGTGCAAAGTGTGGAGTGTGAAATGTAGAGTGTGGAATGAGGAGTGTAAAGTGTAAAGTGTGCAGTGTGCAGTGTACAGTGTAAAGTGTGGAATGTAAAGTGTAAAGTGTGGAGTGCGGAGTGTGGAGTATGAAGTGTAGAGTGTGGAGTGCGGAGTGCGAAGTGTAAAGTGTAAAGTGTGGAGTGCAGAGTGTAGAAGTAAAGTGTAGAGTGTAAAGTGTAGAGTGTGGAGTGTAAAGTGTGGAGTGTGGAGTGTAAAGTGTGGAGTGAGGAGTGTGAAGTGTAAAGTGTAAAGTGTGGAGTGTAGAGTGTAGAGGGTGAAGTGTCGTGTGTAAAGTGTAGAGTGTAAAGTGTAGAGTGTGGAGTGTGGGGGGTAAAGTGTAGAGTGTGGAGTGTAAAGTGTAAAGTGTGGAGTGCGGAGTGTAGAGTGTGGAGTGTAAAGTAAGGAGTGTGGAGTGTAAAGTGTGGAGTTTAAAGTGTGGAGTGTGCAGTGTAAAAATAGTGTGGAGTGTGGAGTGTGGAGTGTAGAGTCTAGGGTGTGGAGTGTAAAGTGTGGAGTGTGGAGTGCAAAGTGTCGAGTGTGAAATGTAGAGTGTGAAATGAGGAGTGTAAAGTATAAAGTGTGGAGTGTAAAGTGTACAGTGAAAAATATGGAGTGTGGAGTGTACAGTGTAAAGTGTGGAGTGTAAAGTGTAAAGTGTGGAGTGTGGACTTTAAAGTGTAGAGTGTGGAGTGTGAAGTGTAAAGTGTGAAGTGTGGAGTGTGGAGTGTAGAGTGTAAAGTGTGGAGTCTAAAGTGTAAAGTGTGGAGTGTAAAGTGTAAAGTGTGGAGTGTGACGTGTGGATTTTGGAGTGTGGAGTGCGAATGTAAAGTGTAAAGTGTGGAATGTGGAGTGTAGAGTGTAAACTGTGGAATGTTAAGTGTAAAGTGTGGAGTGTGGAGTGTGAAGTGTAAATTGTGGAGTGTAAAGTGTAAAGGGGGGAGTGTCGTGTGTAGACTGTGGAGTGTAGAGTGTGGAGTGTCAAGTGTAAAGCGTGCAGTTTAAAGTGTGGTGTGTAAAGTGCGGAGTGTGGAGTGTAGAGTGTGGAGTGTGGAGTGTGGAGTGTTGTGTGTAGAGTGTCGAGTGTAAACTGTAAAGTGTGGAGTGTAAAAGTGTGGAGTATAAAGTGTGGAGTGTGGAGTGTAAAGTGTAGAGTGCAAAGTGTAGAGTGTAAAGTGTAGAGTGTAAAGTGTGGAGTGTAAAGTGTAGAGTGCGGAGTGTATACAGTGTAGAGTGTAGAGTGTGGAGCATGAAGTGTGGAGTGTAAAGTGTAAAGTGTTGAGTGTGAATGTAAAGTGTAGCGTGCAGAGTGTGGAGTGTGAAGTGTGGAGTGTGGAATGTAGAGTGTAAAGTGTAAAGTGTGGAGTGTGGAGTGTAGAGTGTGGAGTGTGAAGTGTGGAGTGTGGAGTGTAGAGTCTGGGGTGTGGAGTGTAAAGTGTGGAGTGTGGAGTGTAAAGTGTGGAGTGTAAAATGCAGTGTGTGGATTGAGGAGTTTAAAGTGTAAAGTGTAAAGTGTGGAGTGTGGAGTGAGGAGTGTAATTTGTGGAGTGTAGAGTGTGGAGTTTACAGTGTGGCATGTGGAGTGTAGACTGTAAAGTGTGGAGGTTTAGTGCAAAGTGAAGAGTGTCGTGTGTAGAGTCTGGAGTGTGGAGTGTAAAGTGTAAAGTGTGGAGAGTAGAGTGTAGAGGGTGAAGTGTAGAGTGTAAAGTGTAGAGTTTAAAGTGTAAAGTGGGCAGTGTCGTGTGTAGAGTGTGGAGTGTAAAGTGTGGAGTGTAGAGTGTGGGGTGTAAAGTGTAAAGTGTGGAGTGTAAAGTGTAGAGTGGAGAGTGCAAAGTGTAGAGTGTGGAGTGTAAAGTGTGGCATGTGGGGTGTGAAGTGTCGAGTGTAAAGTGTAAAGTGGGGAGTGGGGAGTGTCGTGCGTAGAGCGTGGAATGTAGAGTGTGGAGTGTGAAGTGTCAAGTGTAAAGTGTGGAGCGCTCGAACCACGAAAACTGCAACTCATCTTCTGAAAACGGCGCAAAAGTATATATTTCTCCTGCCACACAAAACGACTTTCGACACGAAACCACACAGGTTGCTGGAATGTCACAAAGTGCCATGCTTGCCACGCAAAACGACATGACAACCTGCTTGGAAACCTTCGAAAAGGAGAGGTTTTGCAGCTTCCCCCATAGACACGGCGAGGCCAAAGGAAAACCAGAGACTCGAGACGAGACATGTTGGAGCATCAAAACGAGCATCAAAACGAACATTTCGTGCGAGACTTCCTCCAATGTTCACACTTTGTAGCTTCAGGACCGACGTTTTCCTATGAATTTTCTTGTGAACCTCAAAATTTGCTACCTCAAAAATCAATGTTTCGTGCGAGGCTTCCGTCAATTTTCAGCACATCTCACAAAATGCCACGCCTGCCACGGAATTTACACATTGTCATCACTTGCAGCCCTGACATTGCGATTCACAAAAAACACGCAACACGACACGTCTAAAGTGCTGCGCCTGCCACGCAAAATGACGATGAACTGCTGCGCCTGCCACGAAAACTGCAACGCATCTTCTGAAAACGTCGCAAAAGTATTGCGCATGCCACACGAAACGATTTTCGACACGTTACCAAACACGTCTGAATGTCACGAAGTGCCACGCCTACGACGCGAAACGAAGCAACGCGACACATGTGAAACCTCCAAAAGTGATCCCTTTTGCAGAACTTACCATAGGCACGGCCATACGGCCCTCACGCGGACGGTTGCGGGCGGTTGCGGACGGTTGCGAACGGTTGCGAACCGTTGCGCAACGTCGAGCGAACACACCCTCAACCCCCAGACCCCCAGAGTGAAACGGGAACCCTTGCTACGCATTCAGGAAAACTGCTTTAGTGCGTAGGAATTTATGAAAATCTATCCTTTTATAGGGTACTATACCATCCATTTCACACAAAAGAAAACTACATTAAGACTACATTGAAGGAGCCAATTTTGTGTTCCTTCCAGGAAAGCTCACAACTTATGCTATTGCGGCTATATCCCTGTGTTTGGGGTTCAATCATGTCAATTATTTGCTGGCGAAACCCTACTTGTTCAGTGGTTTAATATCCCCATCCTCATGTTTGCACGCTACAGTAACATCCCGATTCGTATTTGTTCAAACCCTGGTGGGCAATGTTCCCATGATCGTTGGTTGATCAACCCATTCAAGCTGCCCACGTCTACAATCCGACCCCGCTCATATTAGACACCACCCAGAAACCGTGGCTTAGCGGAGGTTTTACAATGATTTACATATATTTGGAACCGCCATAGGACAGGGCGTTCAATATTAGGAGGATGGGATTATAAATGTGTTTGCATTTGTTCGCAAAATGAAATTTTGCTTGTCAACTCCCAGCAGTCTCCGCCTGAACTTGCCTCTCAAGCTCCTGGTGGATTCAACCAACACAAAATGTGATTTAAGCATCAAAAACGAGGGTTTAAGCAGCACACATGGTGATTTTTAACCACCAAAATGGTGATTCAACCAACAAACGTGAGGATTTGACCAAGAAAAATCGTGATTGGCTCCAACATTATGATCTATACAAGCAACAAATGTGGGAAGGCTGGTCACCAAATAAACGGGTTTTGTTGGATTCCACAAGGTGTGTGTGTGTGTGCCTTCCAGTGGGTTTGTGACCAGCTTTCCCTTGGCACCTCAATGGGCTACAATTGGACAAAACAATGCAAAAGAATACTGAGGATATCTCCAAATTTTAGGTGGTCAGAGCCCTTCACATTTTTTTAATCTCCAAAAGGTCAATAAAATGGAACCAAACAGTCAATCCAACATAATCCAACCACATTTGGTTTCGCTACATTGGACTATGGGGTGATGTAGCACTCTTTGGACTCTTAGGTCAAGGCATCTGGAGCTCAACCATCCACAGTGTGATGGGTTGCAATCCGCAACTTTGGGGAGCAATTGCGGGGGGGCAATTACAATGGAAGCTCAGCATGAGCAGGAAAGACTCAAACATGGATAGTTTGCAAAGTAATTGATGGATTTCTGGCGAATTTTGAGTTCTAATCGATTCTACTCATTCAATTTCCAGCATTCTACATTCCAAGTTATGTTGCAAATTCAGCCCCCTTTTTTTGTGTTCGTCCAACCGAAAACAAATGCGTTGTTTCAATCCCAATGTCAATGTCGCTCAATGAGTTCACCAACCTGAAACAGTCAGTTTGTTAGAATCTATCCAAACACATCCCCAATGATAATTTTCCCGAGAAAGAGAGAGAGAGAGAGAGGGAGATGTATGTATTTATATATATATAACATAATATAATATATATATATAATTTATATACATTATATTTCTCTCTCTCTCATCTACATATACCCAAAAGTTAAGCTGGACAGTTATGATTCTTTGGCCTGGGGAATCCCGCCAACCACAACCACAACCGTGAACTATTAGTTGACAATATATGGGGCAGTTAGGGATGGTTAGTACCACCCATTCATGGTGATATTGGGATGGCTTTTGAAATTGGGTGTACCATATTACCGTTTTTCGGAGTAAAGTGTTTTTTCAACTAGACTATTGCCGAAGGAAGTTTAGAAGTCAAACTTCCGACAATATGGACAGATGGAAAAGCAGAGGTGGGAAGAGTCAGAGAGGAGAAGAGAAGAAGATAGAAGATCAGAGAAGAGAAAGAGGCAGAAGACAGAGGACGCAGGTGCGCGAAAAGGTAGCAAATTCGCCTGTGTTTTTCCAATGATTTGTGGCTCCGGAGGGTCGAAAAGTAGGCTTGCTAAAGCAGCGGGTGCGGAGCCATCTGGCCAGATGAGAGATGAAAAGTTGCACGCCGTTCTGGCGCAACGCACATTTCGAAGTCAAAATGCACAAAACACACCAGTTGGAAGTTGCGATGTCCAAAAAGTGCACATCGTTGTGGCGCGAAGCACATTTCCAAGTCAAAATGTACAAGACGCACCAGGTTCGAAGCACTTTTGGAAGTTGCGATGTCCAAAAAGTGCACGCCGCTGAGGCGCGAAGCACATGTCCAAGTCAAAATGTGCAAAACACACCAGGTTCGGAGCACTTTTGGAAGTTGAGATGTCGCTGAGATGATTTTGCGTGATAGGTGCAGCACTTTGTATGACCTGGCATCACTTTTTCGTGGCAAGCGCAACGACTTTGAACAGATGGAATAGAAAAATCGCAACGCGCATTGGTACGAGGCCGTCAGCTTTGTTCTCAACTTTCCATGTTTGAAGGAAGTCTTGCAGAATTGCTTCGTTTTTTGATGTTGTCAACTTGCAAATTTGAGGAAGTCTCGCAGGATAGCTTCGTTTTTAACGTTGTCAAGTTCAAAAATTGAAGAAGTCTCGCAGAATTGCTGCGTTTTTGATGTTGTCAAGTTCAAAAGCTGAGGAAGTCTCGCAGGCTTGCTGCGTTTTCAAGCTTGCAGCTTGCAGATAGACAGATACTTGTCAGATAGATAGACAACTACAACTACAACTGCAACTACAACTACACTAATTACACTACTACTACAACTACAAATGCAAATGAACACAGCTACAACTAGAATTACAACTACACCACACTACACTACACTGCACAAATTACACTGCAGTACGCTACAACTACAAACAACGACACTACATTACGCAACACTACACTGAACGGACTACACTAGTTACATTACATTACGCTACAACTACAACTACAACTACTACAACTGCAACTACACTTGCAACTACCACTAAATTGCACTACACGACACCACGCTACAGTACACAACACTACAGCACACTACAATACACTACACTAATTACACCACACCACAACTACAACTGCAACTACACTACTAATCACGCAACATTACAACTACAACTCCGCTACGCTACACTACAATACAACAACTACAACTACAACTGCGCTAAACCACACTACATCCAGCAGTTGTGGTGAGGTGACCACTGCAAACATTGCAACCACTCCAAAAAACACAACTCCAACCACCTGTCGGTCCATCAGTGGATTCGCTTTGTCACCCGTGATTCACAACCAACCTCTCCTATAGGTTTCCTATTTTCGGAACTTCGGCCACTGCCTTGGGCGGTACGATTGGAATTATATGGATATTCTTATCAAATCCGCCCGCACCGAAAGTGCAGAAGCGTCATAGCTTAGGGCTTAGCGGCTGATGTAATCGAATGAACCAAGTTTCACTGAGGAGGCATTTTCAGGATTGACCTGTCGCCAAAAAGATTGTTCTCACTGCTGTAATTTGCGCGTTTTTCACATCGGCACAACATCGTCCAAATTCACCGCTTTCCTACATATCCGCAGCATGGGGTCAACTTAGGGTCAACTTAAGCCAACAAGGCCCAACTTGGGCCCAACTTGGACCCACTTACCTCCAACTTCGCCCCAACTTGGGCCCAACATGGCGCAACTTAACTTGCCCCCAAGTTGGACCTGCTTGCGAACAATTTCGGCTCAAGTTGAGCTTCACATGGGTCCAAGAAGGTGGCATTCCTGGCCAAATATGAAATCGTCAAGAAGCGCGTTTTTCACTGGTATTTTCCGCATCGATGAAGCTGCACGTTGAGCAATGTTCCTTCTGTTGTGTCTACGTTTGGGCCCACCTTGGTGCAAAGCGGCCACCAAACGGCTAAGTTCCGTCATGTCTTCAACTTGGGGCGCATCTGGATCGATTTGGCGCAACCAATTGGCTAAAACTTGGTCTCAAGCTGGGCCCAACCCAAGCCAATTTGGCAGAGCGCGTTTTTACCGCTAACGATTTTGTTCGTGCTAGGCCGTGTTCCCCACCTGTCTTGGGGCGAACTTCGGCGGGGCCCAACTTCGGCCAAACTTGCCCAAGTTGCACCATTTTGGGCATTGTTGGACCCCAGTTGGCCTGAAGTTTGGCCCAAGTTGAAGCCAAGTGGCCCGAGTTCGGCGCAAGTTATCCCCAAGTTGGGCCCAAGTCGGCTCGTGTTCGGCCCAACTTGAGGCCAAGGACGGCCCATGTTCTTCACCCCTCATCCCCAACTACCATACTCCTCAACTTCAAAAAGTCGTCCCTGACCTGCACACATATATAATCAGGGTGCGGGCGGTACTCGTCGTGCAGCGACTCGAATACCATGGTTTCCCCAGGAAAATAGTCTACAAATGGCTGATGTTCATTGTTTTTCACATCTGGAGGTTTCCTAAAATAGGGGTACCCCCAAAACATCCATGTTAGTAGAATTTTCCCCCAAAAAAACCATCCATTTGGGGGATCCCCCATCTATGTTGAACCCCGTGCCTCGACTCGCTCCGTCTGTTCCTGAAGCGCCTTGCGAAGCTCTTCCACCTGCGAACTGGATGCAGAGTTTCCATAGGTAAAATGTAGATTGAAGCCATAAAAAAATGGCTGGTTTATGGTGATGTACCAGCAAAAACTGATTCTGGTTGTTAAAAAACAAATGGTAAAATGCTGGTAGCTGTTAGCATAACCCACCAAAAAATGTTCAGTTACCAACACAAACTGGACAAAATAGAATATTTAACCCTTCAGGGATCAACCTGCCTTGGTAAAAATGATGCGATTCATAAATGTACCTGGGTTGGATCACTATCCTTTTCCGTCTCGAAGGGTGCCGAATCTGAGGCTGCTTTTACATGATTGTGTAACGTACAATTCACATACTTGGATACATCTCGAATATGAATATACTGGGTTCCAACATTTCTAGCTTTGGGCTGTAAATATTAGCCATGTTGCCTGGTTTCTGGGCCGTTCTTGGACAGGCCCAATTCTGCGACTCAGTATCTGGACAAAAAAAAAGAATACACGAATACCAGTAAACCATAGTAAACCCAGTAAAATGGCAAGCCATGGGCTTCCCACTGTACAATAAGCGGGTCCATGATTTCCCGCAAAAATTGGAGCTGATCAGCCTGTCACGGCTGGATGTTCATCCCCAAAGGAGTTTTTTTTTAATCGCAGCTTGTGAAAGACCCAAAAATATCACCAGAAATCTGGATATTTCTGGTAAGTTTTGTTCAAGTTGTGATTGAATCCCCTACAATATACAGAATCATGTGATTCAAATTTGAAGTGACGCAACTCATCACCAAAACATCATCATCCCATCCAAACCGTTGGTTTACTTTTTATTGGCTCTCTCTGAAAGCGAGGCATTTCGCCCCAAAACAACAATCAATACATTCATACTTGAACACAGAAAATGGGGAGATTGACCATGATTGACTATGATGGGTCATCGACTTGAAAGAGCAAACAGGAGGGAAAAGATCAACCCTCTATGTAATTTGTGGCTATACCCCTCATTTTTTTCCAAAACAGCATGGTTTTCATATGTTTTCATGAGGATCATGGAGATCAACTCTCAAAAATCTCCGCCTGGATTTTCTCTGAATTTTCCAGGTTTTTCCTGAAAATTACTGAAAAAATTGCAGCGCTGTTGCACCTCGTTCCTGGAATTTCCAGTGAGACTGGAGTCCTTCTCAGCCAACTCTAGGGCTTGTCGCACACGCTCTTCATGGCTGTAGAGTACCTGTAAACTGTGGAAAATGTTGTTCTTTTTAGGCAAAAGAAAGATGAAAAGTTGTGGGATCGAAGCTAATGTTTGATATGCTTTTCAAAGAGGGAAAATGATTCAGCATGATTGATTGACCAGTGGTCTTACAGAACTTATTTTATGGATACTGTAGTTTTTTGGACAAAGCCTAATATGTGTGGAAGGGTAAAGACCCAGGACAGAGGAAGTGACAAAGGTGAAGGGCCGAAACTCTCTGGAATTCGCGTAGTTGAGTACTTCGTACCACAAATTACGCATGGTAGATGGTGTGGGATCTACCCTCTAGTAATCTAAGATACCTATGGAAAACAACCATTTGTTATAGATAAGTAATCTACAAACGGACCATTTTCGATAGCTATGCTAACGCTAATGATCCCTTGGAAGGACATCATCCCTCATTGGCTTGGTTTTCCCAAGGGAAAATCGCACTTCCATGGCGTTTTCTCATGACTTCTACGGGGGTCAACCGATGTCATGTTCCCATCACCCCTGCTCCACCTGAGGAAGATTGGCAGATGCCTCGATCCAGGCCTGTTGAGTCGTTCCCAATAGGATCCGGCTGGGTTGGGTATCAGCCTTCAGAGGGGTGAAGAAAGTTGGGATCGAAAGGTAGCAGCTGGGACTTCCACTCCTGATGAAGCCAATCCATGCTTTTCTCATGGGTCACATTCGAAATTCATCGAAATTCAAAACTGGAAAGGCTGGAGTGGTTGCAAAAAAGACCTGGGTTAGCATCACTGGTTGAGAGTGATTCCCATAGTTGAGCCACCTATTTTGCATCTAATCTCCTAAACTGGCCACAGTCTCAAGTAGATTGCGGTTGCTGCTGTGACCGGTACATGTCATCCGACCTGGTTATGATACTCCCTGTCAAAGAGTCAAACAGTAGATGTCCCAACCAACTCCAGTGCAACAATCCATGATACCCATCATATTCCGCTGAGAATCGGTTGCAAAATCAGCAGCTATTGTTATCCAAATGAATACCTCAGTAACTCAGAAACCCATGGAAATCCCCGGATGTTTTTTTCCCCGTCCAAGTTCTAGTTTTTGATGCCCCATTTTTGGACATGGCCAAATATCACAGGTTTGGTGATATCTATACCATCACAGCCCCATACAATATCCCCATCCACCCAGCCTTGCAGGTGCGTTCAGCCAGCCTGGATGGGTTGGCCCCTGCAAATTGGCAGCCATCCTTTGAATGTGGGATCTGCATATGTATGAATATATATAATTTGTACACATACATGTACGTATGTGTGTATCTGTATATGGATATTAATGTATCTGTATATGTATCTGTATATGATATATGTATGTATATATGAATATAGTATACTAGAAAGTAACATACAGTATATGATAGACTTAATAGACTTTGTATATTTAAAATCATATATATATATGTTATTGTATGTACATAAATAGGCTACTCCAGCATCAACCTATAAATCCCATCCAGTCCGGAGTGCGGCGGTCACAGCCTTGAAATCGGATTTATCAGCTCCGATGGAAATATCTTACGACGTTTCAAGGGTGTAAAGCTTCGGGCCACTGGGCCTCCCCTGGAATCCTGGAAGTTCCAATTTCCCTGAGACTGGTGCCATGCCAGCATATCGCGGATGGTGGCCAGAGCCGTAGCATCCTGACGGGCCAAAATCTGATTGAAAATCTGATTTTTCACATGACGTTCACAAGTAAAATTGTCGTTTCATTGTCTCCCTTTCAGGCCAACTATGCCGGAAAGCCAAGAATTTACCTCTACCGTTCTCATCCTAAGGATTGGTAGCTGAAAATTGCTGCTGAAAATGTTCATCCATGGATGCAGTTTCGGACTGGAGTGCCAATTTGAGCACAACTTTGGCAAATCTTGATTATTAAGAGTTCAAGTGTGGGGGATCTTCAGCTAACCCTAGTTGGGGTTCATGGATCATTTTCCTTTAAAAAATAGGATCAAGAAAGATCAACACGGATACAGTACCATTCGTATCCTATTGGGCTCGTGACAGGAAAAACCAATCCTTTTCGGGGAGAGCATCCAGTGTTTTCGGGGAGCTTCGACCTTGTTAAAAAATTGGATATATTATGAAGTGTGTATATACACACAAGTAAGTATATATATATACATATACACATCAATATGTTTTATCTGATGTAGGAATACACGGAATAGATGCATACGTTGCATTCCATTACATTGCATCATTACAATACACTGCAACAGATAACATTACAGTGTATTCCGTTATGCATTGCGTTATATTGCATTACATTGCATTACAATACATTACATTACATAACATGATTTTACATTGCATTACATACATCTACAAGTATGCTACAGTGACACCACAAGTCGGACTGGGTCCTAGCGTCGTAACAACTGGGATGAGCCGAAAACTGCTGTCCCAGTTAAACATCCCCTACCTGCTGCACGGACTGCGGGCCAAAGTCCCTCAGGGAGTCAAAGGCGGCCTCCAAACAGGCGATTCGTGGATCTAAATATGTGATTCTGGATTAGATGTGTACACATCATACATTGAACTTATTGAACTTGTTGAACTTATTGTGTCCCATCATATCCTTGTTGTACCTTATCATGTGTATACATGTATGTGAATGTGTGTGTGGGCAAAGCAAGGCAATATATGTATGTATGTATGTATATATATATATATGGGGAAGTACCCGAACATAGACTATAGAATTGAAATAAATTTAGGTTTTGGGGCATCTTCCAGAATTGAAAAAAAAAAGGTGTACCCTGATTTTCCGAGGAGGTCTCGGGATTGAATTTCGGCATATTCTATGTACTCGTACTTACTTATATTTACATAATATACATATTAATATGTGTACAAATACACATAGTCTATACAACATGATGCAAAGTGCAAGTATAATCAAATATACCCAAGCATCACTGGAATTGGAAACACAAGCGAGTCAGACCCTGCCGGATCCAAAGCAACAAACGCACAGCCCCTGAGCCCACAGCCAAATGGTTGAAATCAACGAGTTAGTGGTGTCTGTTCCCAGCTTGATATCGAGAAATAGATATGGCCCCAAAAAAATGATGGAAAAGTAGTCAGTCCACTATTCATTTCAGTTGCATCCCATCCAGCATCCTGCACGTGTGTCAACTCCACAGAGAAATCACCACAAAGCCTGCACCCACACAAGGAGACGCTCCAAAGTCCTTAGTTCTGCTGAAAAGTATCCAACTTGGACGCGGAAAAAAGGCTAATGACTGATGTTATTCTGCTGGGAAACAAACATGGCTGCAATTACTACATTCTGCAAAATGTATGTAGATCTATTGATGTCCTATATTATATTATATAACTATATATACGGGTACAATGTGGTATATGTAACTGCATATCTACAGCGTAACGTTCAACTGCCAGGTAATTGATTTTCCTGTTATCCAGCCTGGGTTTCGCCAGTTTCGACACTGGGTTTCCCAGCGAATCAACGGCTTGTTGCAATAGTTTGTTCTGCTCGATGTGCTTTTGCCGCTCCTCCTATTTTCGGCAAAGATTCTGTAAGGCGAACTTGAGAGGGGGAACACGAAAGGTAGGTGATCAAGAAGGGGAAGCAAAACCTCTCTGTGCAAAAATTGGCTGTGTGTAAACGCGTGTTGTGTGCACAAGTTTTTGTGTGCAATTTGTGCCTGTGTAAAAAATAATTGTGTGTAAAAGCGTCTGTATGTAAAAAATGTTGTGCGTAAAACCTTCTGTGCGTAAGACTTCTGTGCGGAGAATTTTCTGTGTAAAAACCATCTGTCTGTAAAAATTGTTGTGCATATTTGTTTTTGGTGCGTAAAGGTTTCTGTGCGAAAACGTTTCTGCTGTGTAAAAACTGTGTTGGGTAAAAGTTTTTGCGTGCAAAAAAAATCGGTGTGTAAAAATTTCTCTGTGCAGTCTGTATGTACAAGTTTCTCTGTGTCAAATGTTTTTTGTGTAGAAAAAAACATGCGTATTTTTTTTTCTGTGCAAAGGTTTCTCTGTGCAGAAGGTTCTGTGTGTAAAAACGCCTATGTGCCTTTATTTATGCGCGCAAAAACATGTTTGCACAAAGCATGTGTGTGTAAATACCTCCGTTTTTGCCTAAAAACCTCTGTGTGTAAAGGCGTCAGTGTACAAAAGTTTTTTTGTGCAAAAACCTTTCTGTGTAAAAACATTTGCGCGTAAAAACTGCTCTGTGTAAAGGTTTCTGTGCGTAACGTCGTCTGTTTGTAGAACGTATCGGTGCAAAATGCGTCACCACAGCCAAAACGCAAAAAAAATGAAACAACAAAAATGCAAGATCGAATGTTTGATGTCGTTACCGTTGTTGATGATGGCGATGATGCGCGCAGGGCCCCACAAAGCGTCATTTTGGCTGTTTTAAGTCAATTTTTGAAAGCCTTCGGACCAAATTATCTTCTTCGAGTGATCCCCACCAAGTGACATGTTTTTGCATATTTTCTGACATGCTATGCGGCATTCGTTTTTTATGTCATAAATGTTCTGCAATTCCTTCTGGCATTCTACCTGCTATATCTTCGGAGGTTCTTTGTGGCTGAGGTCCGACGGGCAACACTCTGATCATAAAGTTGGATGTGTTTGTTGTTGTTGTTGTTGTTGCTGGTGTTGTTGTTGTTGGTGGTGTTGGTGGTGGTGCTGGTGCTGTTGTTGCTGTTGTTGCTGTTGTTGCTGTTGTTGCTGTTGTTGCTCTTGTTGCTGTTGTTGCTGTTGTTGCTGTTGTTGCTGTTGTTGCTGTTGTTGCTGTTGTTGCTGTTGTTGCTGTTGTTGCTGTTGTTGCTGTTGTTGCTGTTGTTGTTGTTGTTGGTGGTGGTGGTGGTGCTGTTGCTGTTGCTGTTGTTGTTACTGTTGTTGTTACTGTTGTTGTTAATGTTGTTGTTACTGTTGTTGTTACTGTTGTTGTTACTGTTGTTGTTGCTGCTGTTCTTCTTGCTCTTCTTGCTCTTCTTGTTCTTCTTGTTCTTCTTGTTCTTGTTCTTCTTCTTATTCTTCTTGTTCTTCTTGTTCTTCTTGTTCTTCTTGTTCTTCTTGTTCTTCTTGATCTTCTTGTTCTTCTTGTTCTTCTTGTTCTTCGTACTTTTCTTCTTGTTGTTGTTGCTCTTGTTGTTGAACTTGTTCTTGTTCTTGTTGTTGTTGTCCTTATTGTTGTTGTCCTTATTGTTGTTGTCCTTGTTGTTGTTGTTGTTGTCCTTGTTGTT